TATCTATCTATCTATCTATCTATCTATCTATCTATCTATCTATCTATCTATCTATTTCTCTCTCTCTCTCTTTCTCTCTTTCTTCTTTTTCATTTTCCTTGCTCTCTTTTAACACTCCCAAAAGTTAACAAAATGTAGTGAAAACGTAATGAAAATGGGAAGCAAAGTCAATTCGTTTTTTCCAAATCTGATTGCTGAATATAATATGGTATTATATATTAATTTTTTTAATCCTCAGGTTTAGACAAATAGTCATGTTGCCTTTTTTATCGTCTTACAAAGCAATACTAGTGGGCGTGGCATTGTTTTTGTCTTTGTCTTAGTAGAAACTAAAATAATGCATGTATCTTTTGCATGTTGTGAAACACTAGTCTGATCAAAAATCCAAAATGGCATTTTACACATATAATCTGTTGTCTTGTTTTTTTGGCCTGGGGGTGACCTTAATGGCATTTTTGCCCACTTCTCGAATTTCTATAATGTGGTTGTCACTACTGAGGAAAGGCGCTAAAACAGTAGAACTGTTGGCCTCGTTCTTTGCCTTTTTGTTGTCACTAGAAGTAGAAGGAAGCCACTTGGAGCCAGAACTCCCTGTATTTGTACTGGACAGCCAGGAGAAATTGTTGGGCGAGGCCGTAGTCGCGTCATCGGAAGATGTCGCGCTACATGACGTATCATCCGGTTCAGTGTCGTCAGAGCCTAGATACATGCTCGTGCTGCAGGCGAGCGCCACTGACGGGGTTAGAGAGTCCCCTTTGTCTATCGGAAACAAGACTGGCTCTATGAGTTTTGCTGGCGGATCAGGGAAATGAAGACCGTTGAGAAGTGCGTTGTCCACAAACTCGGAGGATGCGAGGCTGCCGCTGATGACACCACTGCCAGTGATAGGAGAAGGGAAATTGTCCGCTCTTACTTTTTCCGCTCCGTAACTTTCTTTGGATAAAGAGTCGGCGAGGCTCTCGAAGCATGTTTTGCTCGCTGCTGACAAGGGGAGATCACTGGCGCAGCTACCACAGCTGGAGCGGGTGCTTTCAGATTTTTTCTTGGGCATCGCCAGCTCTAGAAGCTTCCAAAATCTCGTTCTCAACTTGCTTGAAATAGGCTCCTCTCCCGGGAACTTGATGTACGTCACCGATTCGATGATGGCCCTTGTAAAAAGAAAGAGGGACGTGATGGAGTAATGAATATACAAGAAACATTAACACTATGTTTTGAAAATTAGAATCTGTTCTACGTTGTTCTTGTTTTACGTAGACGAAAAAATTAAAATACCTCTCCAATTTGCTGTATAAGACAAACGACTGAGAGAATGCTCTCAGAGGAAAAGTGAAGGGAGTGAAAGAAACAGAACTAGGCGGTAATGGGTGACAATGATTTAATTGAAGAGAGGATGAAAAGACAAGTAACTGAGTTGGAAAGGGGAAGAAGATAAAATTTAAAGAAACAATATTTGAGTAGCCCCCGTAGGAACGAGGGCAGTTATCATTTTCATGAACTACTTTTAAAGGTAGGGGACGTGGCCATTTGGCTGAAAACGGCGTTTTCGAAGAAAAAAAATTGACCTTGAGTAAAAGTATAAATCACAAATTTCAATGAACGTGTTTGTTACTGGCCTTAGTTAATCTAGCGTCTTAATTGGCTTTTACTTTGTTGTCAACATCAGCACATGGGGAAAAGTATTGTTAATAAAAGCACTATTGAATATAGAGAAAGTTGTTGTCAAATAATAATAATAGGTAGCATTTATATAGCGCAAATCCCCGCTCAACAGCAAGCTCCATGCGCTTCACAATCTATACTATTGCCCCAGCAGACCTGAGAGCATTCTGAAGCAAGCTCAACTTCCTGGGAAGCATACAGTGCAAGCAGCCATTTATAGGCGCTAAAACACTAACATACTGACAAGATCTTTATTGAATTAATAGAACAGAATTAACCCTATCCGTACGCCTGGGGTCATTTTGTACCCCAGGGGTTGTATTCTTCACATTTGAGAATACTTCTAGTGCACAGATCTCTTTGAAACGTTCAGTATTTCTCAAAAAATCATTTTGACAGACTGCAGTGCAAAGCGTACTGATCAGATTAACGAGCAAATTTCCTCTTTGGAAAGTGGGGACACAGAGTTTCCCACGTCGTATGGATACGATGGTAAAACACGACGTACAAATAGGGTTAAGATTTCAAATCAATGTTCACCGTAGGTTTTTGTCCATAGTGGGTATTCCCGATACGTCCTCCAGCACGACAGGGATGATCTTGTGTTTGAGCTTGAGCATCTCATGCTGTGCCATCTGGTACTCCATGCGGCACCACTCGGACTCCACGTAGCTAGGGGAGAGAACTAGGATCGTCCTTCTGCTGTTCTGAACGGCGTGGATGATGTTGTTGGCAATGGCTGTTCGAAAGAAAAGACACATACTTTTCTAAAGGAAATCTCCTTTTTACTGCTGTTCTTTTGTGTATAATAATATAATTAATGTATGGTTGTGAAAGTCCTTCTTTATGTGGTTGAACTGGTTTGTCTTGTTTGTGGGAAATATTTTCTTTTGCATGAATCACTCACTGATCATGTGATTGGTGTGAAGCGATCAGACCTGTTGTGCGATAGAGCGCTATATAAATGCAGTCTATTATTATTATTATTGTTTACAACAGTGTATTTTGTATTCAATATCATGTGTTTACTTGATTGAGACCTGACAAAATGTTCAGAATTTCTTCTTGATCAGCTAATAGGTTTTGTGTACTACACCTGTTACTTTCTCTTTTAATAAAGCAGCTGTTTGTTTAGAATTTAAATTCCAAGCAAGAAACCATCTTTTTATAGCGGTTTTGAACAACGCATAATGACCAGTATTTTGAAACTGTTTATCTCGAATGATAGAATTCATTTAATCTGGATACCAAGAGACCCATTAAAAATGCAAACTGTTTGGTTTGTTTGTTTTTAATTTTTATATTGGGTGGGGTTTTTTTACTCCCTCATTGGCACAATTTGAAATGTTCTGCCCACTCGGGAATCGAACGCGGGTCTCCTGCAACATGACAGCGAAGCCACCCCAGACGCTGGTATCTAAACTGTAAAACAATAACGATTCACAATCATAATATATTGTTGTATTTATCAGAGCCATGCAAAAAAACTCATCTCTCTCTCTCTCTCTCTCTCTCTCTCTCTCTCTCTCTCTGTCAGTGTCTCCCTGTCAGCCTCTCTCTTTTTCTCTCAGTCTCCCCCCTCTCTCTCCCTCCCTCTCTCTATCTATCTTCCTATCTATCTTCCTATCTATCTATCTATCTATCTATCTATCTATCTATCTATCTATCTATCTATCTATCAGTCTATCTATCTATCAGTCTCTCTCTCTCTCACACACCTCACACGCACACATACACACACACACACACACACACACACACACACGCACACACACGCAAACACACGCACTCTCCCGTCCCCAGTACTGATGTCTAACTGTTTTACGCAGCGTGGACCATCATCAACGATCGCAAGCACGTACTGTCCCCTGGTGAAAAGTCCCGGAAGTGCAGACAGAGGCGAAAGTCCAGCTCTTTCTCCAGACGTGGGTACAGATGATGTAGAACGAACCTCTCATCCCGCGGGCACGATTTGTAGGAGACAAAAGCGTCGTACTCTTTGTTATCTGAAATTTGAGGTAGAGAATTTTCACAAAAAAACGGAGGAGAGATCAAGACGATGGATGTTTGGTAGGAAATAAGGAGCAAACCACACCAGAGCACCTGCCAACCACCCACTCTGGAAAGTTATAAACATCATCATGTGGGTGGTTGACCGAAGTTATAAACATCATCATGTGGGTGGTTGACGGGTGCTCTGGTGTGGTCTGCTCCTTCTTTCCTATCAAACGGCACTTGCAACACAATAAGGTCATATCAGTGCCAAAGATTAGACGTGTTACAAACGAGTAACAAACACAAAAAGGAGGGGAGATAAAGACGATACAAGTTTGATAGGAAAGAAGAGGCAACCCACACCAGAGCACCCACAAACCACCCAAAGAGATTTTGTTTTATCAGCATCAGCACTACTGAACATTGAGGAAATTATTGTTAACACAGACACCACTGCATATTGAGAAAATTGCTGTCACCATAAGCACTACTGAATACGCAGAACATTATTGTCAACAACAATAAAAACACGACTGAGTGTAGAGAAACTTATATTATTATTGTAAACATCACTACTGAGCATAGAGAAAAAGCACTACTGAGCATAGGAAAAATATATAGTATAAGAATAAAGAGAAAAAATATTCTAAACATAGGCACAACTGAATACCATCAACTTTAAGAGACAAGGCCAGGGCACATCTGAAGAAAACGTCGTTGATGCATATCTTAACCCTATCCGTACGCCCTGGGGTCATTTTGTACCACCGGGGTTGTATTCTTCACATTTTAGAATTTTTCTAGATCTAGATCTAGTAGCCTACGTAGATCTCTTTGAAATTTTCAGTTTTTCTCAAAAAATCATTTCGACAAACTGCTGCTATGCAAAGCGTACGGATCGGATTAACGAGTAAATTTCGTCTTTGAAAGTGGTGACACTGAGTTCCCCATGTCGTATGGATACGATAGTAAAACAAGACGTACGGATAGGGTTAAACAACAGTAATATTTGGGCCCCACGGCGACAACATTCACTGAATTAATGCTGTGCACATTGTCGTGGCAGACAATAAACGAGAGGCGGTGCCACAGAATTATTCTGAGGACACTTGTGATATTAATATTACACGGCGAACCCAATTAAATAAGTGCCGCTGTTGTTGTTTCCTGCTACTGCTGGTGCTCCTTTTTCCTACTCCTCGTCCTCCTCCTCCTATCACAACAACTACTACTACTACTACTTCTACTACTACTGCTACTACTACTACTACTACTACTACTACTACTACTACTACTACTACTACTACT